GGGGTGGGAGGAACTCCAGAGATAAAATTTTGAAAACAAAGTACTTGGACCACAGCCACTATAACAGAAATTTTCTTACATGTCAAACAGGTAACTTATTAGAAGTCTATGCTGTTGGACAGCTGATGGTTAACATCCATTAGGAAGGCAATCCACTAGAAAAGCAGAGTCAAGTAATCCACTTCTATTGTACATCATCTCCCTAGTATCACATAGATGCTACGTACTGGTCTTTCTCTACAGTTTGAGTGGCATATTAAATTCAATGGGAAACTATTAAAATAGTCTTGTGTGACTAAATTGCAAGATGTTCCAAATTAAAACCCATGTCCAAGTCCCCAGCGATGCCAAAATAGGTATACTATGCAAAACAGCAGAACAAACAAAAAAGTGCATTTCAGGCATGTAAGCCCTGGCAAGGCTACAGAAACACTAACATTTTTATCACTTCCCATGATTTCTACATAACAGACCACTATAGCAGCTGCTAAGGTAGCTCCGAATGCCTAAATGTAAGATATTGTAATAGATGGGAACATACAGATCTGAAAAAGATTATGTATCTTGTTTATTAAAAAACCCAATTCCCTACTTCTGGAAAAATATTCTAGTTTCTTATTCTGAACTACCTGTAATTCACTTGCCAAAAGCAACCTGAGATAAAGAACTTACGAAAAATACCTCTTAGCAAAAACAAATTAGCACTAAGGAAAAAGGCCAAATAGGAATATTGTAAGTTTACATCTAGAGCCGATGTAAAAAATTCACAACAAATTGCTAGAAAATTACTGGTATTTATTTTCTTGGTGGTGTAATGATATACGGAATATTTTTATTTTTAAACAGAACTCAAGAAAAGAAAGTACTCCCAAGGTTTAAACATTATTAGAAATTATAATGTAGTGAAGAAGCTTCATTGAAAAGCAAAACAGAAATGAAACTAGCAGCTCGAAAACAGACCATACCCTACCACATTACCATACTCCCCCTCAAACTAATTTTAGAAGGAATAAGAACAAAGCATGGTATGGTTGAAGTGGGTCCTGCTTTAAACAAGGGGGCTGAAACAGGTGGTTTCCAGAGGTCCCTTTCAACCTAAATTATTCCACAATTGTAAGAATCACTTTTATTTTTATGGTTAAAATATAACAAAGCTCCAAAGAGTAATCATCAGAATGGAAGACATTGTAGCAGCTTCCAAGATATTAATATTCCAGTTACTCGTACACAAAGAAAAACCTGAAGTAGGATACAAACTACTTTACTCCATCCTTGCAGGATTCCCACAAGCCTAGTACTCATAGGAAACCAGAACAAAGTTCCACATTTACACAGTTAACTAGAAGACTTAAGAAAAACATGAAGAACTGAATACACGGAAATAATGTTTTCTACTCTCAAAAAAAGAATTAGCATTTACTATGTTTAAATCCAAGTATTAATAGACATTGGTTTGCTTGGACTATCCAAAAGATGATTTATGCAGACAATGAGAAAAATATGAAAGCTTTTGAGAAATCCAAACAAATATCTATAGCTGCCTTAAATACAGACACTGAAAGGAGTTCGTGTCTGGTTTCCAATTTATTCTGCACTTGCACAAACCCTAAAAAAAGCTTATCTTGAAAAAAAAAAAGTTGCCTAACTTTCAGAGCTTGTCATAACTTCAGATACTATCAAATCACATAAATCTTAAACTTTGAACTTCACTCAATGTATTTTACTCCACAAGCAGTCCACACCTCTTTGTTAAACTAACAAAAGGCACTATATAATTAGCAATGTATTTACTATTTTATCAGTTACTACTTGTTATAAGCAAAAGAAACTGGTTATAAATCATGTGCACCTGCTGTATGCCTGTTAACAGTGAATTTCCTTTCATCTAGCACAATCCATCACTCCATCCTTGTTCCTGATTTTAACCTGATTTCTACCTACTGCCAGTTCTAGCATTTATACTCAAAAGCACATCCTTTTGTGTCCTGCTCTGAGCAGCAGGGCTATATGAATTACCATAGCCAAATAATCCAGTATATTAGCCTGCTTTCCACAGCACTTCTCCATAGAAGACAAGCATTCATGTTAGCAACAGGGGTAAAATAAATTCATTCTGACATACCACATCAAAATAAAACTCAGTTTCAACTACAGTATCACCCGTGAGACAGATGCCCAAACTTCACCAAATTGCCATGTAACTTTGCAAATTTCTATTTGCAATCGTGAGCTTTACTACACATCTTTTTCACACGTTTCAGCCTGCAGTTTATGTTCAGATGCTTTTCTTCTGCTGTTGGCTTTTCCTCTCCGAGAGGCTAAGAAACAAGATACTTTCCAGGATTCCCAGCTGGTGCAAGATGGAAGCGAAGCAGACAGACACCCCAAGTGAAGGGAACAGAACATCTTAACAGCAGCGTTTCCAGTTTGCAGGCTCACAGACTTGTCCAAACACCAAAGCCTCAAAACACGCAGGCAGAGAGAGATAAAAATTTCCAAAATTATCGGGGCGGTCTCACACTTTTGGAAAGTGCGATCCCCTTTTGGCTCCCGCATCTCATGTGACTGCTCTCCCCTCCCTTGCTCCTCAAGGGCGATGCACGAGCAGTACGTGCACAGCTCGCATGCATTTCTTCTTTTAAATAGGAGCAAACCAGCAGAATTGAATGCTTAAGCTTAACCTGTGCATCATTACAGGTGCATTTTTAAACCCAGAGCTGGTATTGCAAAAGGTGTTCCACAATATGCCAGTAAGTAAAGAAAATGGAAAAAGACTTCAAAGGGCGGGGG